AATCCGCGACCCGCAAATTACGAGTCGAGCGCCCTAACCATCAGGTCATGTCAGGCCAAACGTTATAGAAAATAAACTAGTATAATAAGAAATCTTTAAAGTTAAAATTTATTCACTAAAACCGTCTTATTTATTAAATTTTATGTACAAAAATAGAAATAAAATATAAGTTTTAATTATGCGTTGATGTCAGCACTCTCTCAACAAACTCTTGAGAGTATGTGAGTTTCCTGAGGATATGACTCTCTTAGCCTCCTAGGAGGAAATGAATAATAGTTTTGAAAATAAAAAATGCACTAATAGCTTTGATCGGCTAGGAGGTCTGCTATTGGAAGGTGTGCAAACACATTAAGATTGCTTTCCTTTTACTTCAGGCTTACCTGAATCAAGTATCGTTAAAGAGACAAATTGCCCATGACCTACAAATATAGATCACCTGATCGACTGTAATTAGGCAGCAAGAAAATGAATATTTATTAGACACAAATAATATGTTATCTGCACACGGAGGCTTCCAAAAATATTATTACGGGAAAAATTACAACACTACTCTACATAAGAATGAGTTCTTATAATCCTCTAGTTTGAAATAACTTTTGTATATGGCATCACGAGCAAGGCGGTTTAATTCTGCACACAAGGCCCGGCATGGCCAGGTGGTTAGGGCGCTCGACTCACAATCCTAGGGTCACGGGTTCGAATCCCTACCCCACCAAACATGCTCGCCCTTTCAGCCATGGGGCGTTATAATGTGACGGTCAATCCCACTATTCGTTGGTAAAAGAGTAGCCCAAGAGTTCGCGGTGGGTGGTGATGACTAGCTGCCTTCCCTCCAGTCTTACACTGCCAAATTAGGGACGGCTAGCGCAGATAGCCCTCGTGTAGCTTTGCGCGAAATTCAAAAACAAACAATTCTGCACACCCACACGATTTACGGCCATTTTCCAATTCATTCAAAGTCCAGTATTCTTTGCAAGTTGATATTCACTGGTTTAATTTCACAACTCTTTATACAACAAGACCAGAGCATATTTCTTCCAGATACCTAATGCTTTGCGACTGTGCTTGCATGAACAAGATGTACAAAAGTATGCTGTAATCATTGCACCATTTTTGGTGCCTAGTGAACTAATAAAAAAGATTTGGTCTTGTAAGTTGGCTACAAGCGTAATTTTGTCGATTTTACAGCCAATAACTGTTTATCAACTTTGACTGTCATGATGTGATGTAATTGGTTATATCTCAGCTTCCAGAAGTCATAGGTTAACGATTTTAACACGTAATGAAAGCTTCTTTCTTGATCTTTTCAACTCTGTCGGTGAACATTGCTTTCAGTTTAGAGAAAATTGGTATAGAGCTTTAAATAAAATGATAAAACTTAGCTTGGAAGAAAACCTTGCTGGAAGAAAATGTGTTTGTGAACAGCTTCCGTAGTTCTGAATTCATTTGATTTATGATATTGCAATATGCTAAAAAAATTTTTTTTTCATCGAACAAAATATTTTCACTCGA